GAAACCCTGTCTCTACTAAAACTACAAAAAATTAGCTGGGCATGATGGCACGTGCCTGTAATCCCAGCTACTCAGGAGGCTGAGGCAGGAGAATTGCCTGAACCCAGGAGGCAGAGGTTGCGGTGAGCCATGATCGCGCCATTGCACTCCAGCCTGGGTAACAAGAGCGAAACTCTGTCTCAAAAAAAAAAAAAAAAAAAGAGAGGGATGGGTTCGGTGGCTCACACCTGTAATTCCAATACTTTAGAAAGCTGAGGTGGGCAGACCATGCAGTCAGGAGATCAAGACCACCCTGGCCAACAGGGAGAAACCCCATCTCTACTAAAAATACAAAAATTAGCTGGGCATGGCAGCGTGCGCCTGTAGTCCCAGCTACTCAGGAGGTTGAGGCAGGAGAATTCCTTGAACCCAGGAGGCAGAGGTTGCAGTGAGCCAAGATCGCACCACTGCACTCCAGCCTGGTGACAAAGCTAGACTCCTCAAAAAGAGAGAGAGAAAGAGAGAGAGAGAGAGAGAGAGATGATAGACCAGATGTGGTGGCTCATACCTGTAATCCCAGTGCTTTGGGAGGCCAAGGTGGGATGATCACTTGAGGCCAGGAATTTGAGACCAGCCACAGAGAGACTCCATCTGTACAAAAAAAATTAAAACTTAGCTAAGCATGGTGACACATGTAATCCCAGCTGCCCAGGAGGCTAAGGCAAGAGGATTCCTTGAGCCCTGGAGGTTGAGGCTGCGGCTGCAGTGGACTGGCTGGCCAGGTGAGGTGGCTCACACCTATAACTCCAGGACTTTGGAAGGTGGAGGCCATCAGATCACTGAGGCCAGGAGTTTGAGACCAGCCTAGCCAACATGGTGAAACCCTGTCTCTACTAAAAATACAAAAATTTGCAGGGCGTGATGGCGCATTCCTGTAGTCCCAGCTACTCGGGAGGCTGAGGCAGGAAAATGAACCCAGGAGGCAGGGATCGTGCCACTGCACTCCAGCCTGAACAATAGAGTGAGATCCTTTCTTTAAAATGAGAGAGCGAGAGAGAGATGCTAGACTCTACATAATAAGATTGTGACAACTGATAAAGGTAACTCTCTAAATCAGTGTTTCTCAAAGCGTGGTCTCCTGACGTGCAGTATCAGCCTCACCTGGTAAACTTGCTAGAAATGTAAACTCTTGCGCCCCACTCCAGACCTGCTGAATCAGAAACTCTGGGGCTGGGCCCAGCAATCTGTGTGTTAACAGACCTTTCAGATGATGATGATGCACACTAAGTCTGAGAATATAAAGGGCTGACATGAAGGGCTTACCGTTGTGCTTGTGCTGTGCACGTGACAAGCTCTCCTAACAATTGTGTCTTCTGTCTTTGGAAGGGATAAGCTCGACCCTGAAGAGTAAGTAAAATATGACAGCATCTTTGCATCTCATCCACAAATTTGAGTTGCTCAGAAATAAATCACTTCTTAAAAATGTTCGGTGACTCACTGAATCTCCAACTCATATCTTCCACGTGGCTGCACTGGCACAAAAGTAAACTTCAGTCCTTCTTGGCTTTGCCACGCCTTTCTGAGGTTGGGCCTTGGTTCTTGGGTTTCACACAGTGCTGAGATGGAGAGGGGTCTGGGTCCTCCAACCACTTGGGTGACCACTAAGCTCTCCATCCTTCCTGTCCACATGACCCCTTCCAAGCAGAAGCCTCGGCTGCTCTCAGAGCTCGCTAGGGCCCCAGGTTCCTCACTGAAGCTGCTTTGGGCACCATCTTCCAGAGCCAGAGACTCAGATGCCCAAAGGGACCAGGTTCATCAAGGAAACAAAGTGGACTGGCTGGCGGGTGCAATGGTTCACACCTGTAACCCCAGCACTTTGGAAGGCCAAGGCAGGCAGATCACGTGAGGCCAGGAGTTCAAGACCAGCCTGACCAACATGGTGAAGCTCTGTCTCTACTAAAAACACAAAAATTATCTGGGCATGGTGGTGCGAGCCTGTAGTCCCAGCTACTCCAGAGACTTAGGCAGAAGAATGAACCTGGGAGGTGGAGGCTGCAGTGAGCTGAGATCATGCCACTGAACTCTAGCCTAGGCAACAGAGTGAGACTCTGTCTTAAAAACAAAGAAAGTGGACTGGCTGTGACCCAGCAGCAAGAGGTAGGGTGGGGATACTGCATATTTGTGCCAAGCTCCCAGGCACGCCTCTGTAAACACAGGCCTAGCACTACCAGATCTCTTTATCCAGACAAACTGCAAATCTAAATATGAACTTTCAAGAGAAATTTGAAATAGGCAATCTTTTATTTTTGATGTTGTTGTTGTTTTGGTTTTCTGAGACAGGGTCTTTGTTGCCCAGGCTGGAGTGCATGCAGCGGGGTAATCACAGCTCACTGGGCCCAAGTGATTCTCCTGCCTCAGCCTCCTAAGCAGCTGAGACTACAGATGAGGGCCACCACGCCTGGCTAATTTTTTTTTTTTATTTTTGTAGAGATGGGGTCTTGCTGTGCTGTCCTGGCTGGTCTCAAACTCCGGACCTCATGTGATCCTCCCACCTCAGCCTCCCAAAGTGCTAGGATTACAGGTGTGAGCCACCACGCCCAGCCTCAATCTTTTAAATTTTGGAAATCCATCAGAAAAAAATAAAACACTGCATGGGCCAAACCAAACGGCTGTGAGCAGGATTCAGTTCAAGAGAGGATGACTTATGGTTTCTGGGCTTGGAGGCAGCCTCTCCTCCAGGGTCCTGCTTCCTCCCCAGGGAGGCTCCAGGAAGTATAGCTCCAAGACCCACAGCCCAGGATGCCACTACTCCCCCTCCCTCCCCTCTGCCCCCAGCCACAGGAAGTCTCTCTGCAGCTGGGGAGAGGAGATCTGCTCTTCCCACTGTGGCTCCAAGACCCTTGGTGGTACCTGTAATCCCCTGCAACCCCTTAGTTCTAATGAAAACTCTCCTAAGTTCTCCTAAAAGAGAAGAAAAACCAGAAAGATGTATAGGCTATTTGTTGTTCCGGTTCTGCGATATCCTTCCCCTGAGGCAACAGCTGCCTGCTTTGATGAGAAGGAAAAGGGAGAACAGGAGGAAGGAGAAACAACGGAAACAAATGAAGTAATATATCAAAGCATTATGATGCTTTGTGTGCAGAAGCAGATGGGAGGAGGGAAGCGAAGGGGACAGAGCAGAGGGGAGTTAGGTCACGGGATACAAACGGGATTCAGGCCATTCCTCCGAGTCCTGAGGTTCTCTGTAGAGGTGGGAAGATGGAGGGAGGACTGGGTTAGATGAGGTGGTCAGGAAGTGACATTTGAGCCGAAACCTGAAGGATAAAGGAGCCAGTCACACAACCAACAGGGAGAAGGCCTGTTCCTCTGCTTCCTTCCCAAGCAGATGCTCTCTGCTGCTCTCAGAGCTCACCTGGGACCCCAGACTCTGTTCCAGGAACAGAAAGTGCAAAGACCCCAAGGCATTTTCAAAGAGAGCAAGGAGGCTGAGCACAAGATGAGAGAGACGGCAGAGGAGGCGGGGCGAGCAGCCAGTCATGGTAGGGGGTTTGGGTTTTGATGTAAGTGCCATCTGGAGGGTGGTGAGCCTTCAAATGGCATGAACTGATTATTTCATAGTTTCACGAGATCACGCTGGCTGCAGAGTAGAGAGCAACCTGTAGGGGGCGTGAGAATGGCAGCTGGGTCCCAGTTAGGCGCTGTGGGAGTTGTCTGGGTGGGAGGTGGCGTGGGGTTCAGACCCTGTCACTAAAGCAGGAACTGGACCCCAGAGCTCAGTTGCAAGGCATATTTTGGAGATGCTGCTGGTTGGACCCGCCGATGTGGGGGATGAAGGGAAAAAAAGGATTCAACAAAGAGTCCTTGTTTCTTGCCTTGAATGTTGTTCAGTGTCATCTTGGGTCATTCAGTCATCTCTTTACTCAACAAATATTTATTGAATGCCTACTGCATGCGAGGCATTGGGCTGGATCCTGGGGAGCTACAGAAATCAGGAATATAGGGTTGATGGCCCCAGAGAGCAACCCCTCAGTGACCTTGGCTTTCTCTCTGTGACCCCTGAGTTGCAAACAGGGAAAGTCAAAAGGGGCGATATTCCCCCAAATGAAAAATCCTGCATTGATTGAGCAAACATTTACTGAGCATCTACTATGCGCCCAGGACAGTTCAGAAACAAACAAGACAGACAAGGCCCCTGCCATCATGAAGCTCCTACGGAACTGACAGAAAATAAACATTTCAAACATGTATGTGTTTTGTTAGAAGGGTTGTAAGTGTTGGAGAGAAAAAGAAAACGAGAGGTGGTGTTAGGGTTTGAAAGTATGTGTTCTTCCAAACTTCCTATGTTGACACCTAAGCTCCAAGGGAATGGCATTAGAAGGAAGGGCCTGGGGGAGGGGATGACATCAGGAGGCCTCCACTCTTGTGCATGGGATCACAGTAGTGAGTGCCCCCTATCTACGGCTTCAGTTCTCTGTGGTCAGCCACCATCCCAAAATATTACATGGAAAATTCCAGAAATAAATATTCACAGAATTACAGTATATTGTTGTAACTGTTCTATTTTATTCTTATTAATCTTTTACTATGCCTAATTTATAAATTAAACATCATAGGTATGTATGTATAGGGAAAAAATGTAGTGTTTATAGGGTTCAGTGCTATCCGTGGTTTTAGGTATCCACTGGGGGTCTTGGAACGTAGCCCCCTAGGATAAGGGGGGACTACTGTAGTACCCTCATAAAAGAGGCTTAAGAGAGTTGCCTGGCTCTCCCGTCTCTCTTCCTATGTGAGGACAGGGCATTCGTCCCCTTTTGTCTCCTTCCACCAAGTGAAGACATAGTAAGGAGGCACCATCTAGAATCAGAGTGAGCTTTCACCAGGCACTGAATCTGCCAGCGCCTTGATCTTGGACTTCCCAGCCCCCAGAACTATGAAATATAAACTTCTATTATTTATAAATTGCCCAGCCAGGGGTATTTTGCTACAGCAGCACAAACAGACTGAGACCAGAGGGAAGAGGGTTGGAGAGGGAGTTTATAAGAAAGAGTTCTAAGAAGTCACATTTGAGCACGGATTTGAAGGAGGTCAGAAAGTGAGCCCCATGGAGATGGAGGATGGATGAGGAGAGCAGAGCCTGAGGGACCCCCAGGAGGGGGAGCATCTGGCATGTTACAGGAGTAGCTGGAGGTAGAGCTGCTGGTGCACACCTGGAGAGGCAGCAGAGAGCGAGATAGAGGGTAGAGGAATAACAGAGGCCACGTTGATAGGGCCACCATGGTAAACCATAGTGAGCACTCTGGATTTCAACCTGAGTGACACAAAGACTCATCAGAGAGTCCAGCTTACCGAGGTCCACTACTCTGCACTACTCCACTGCCCTCCACCCCATCTACCAAGCCCCTTGAGTCCCAGGGAGGGCCAGACACAGCCCCTGACTCTCATGAGCTTCTCCGGCTCACCCAGCTCATCTGGTGTCTCTCTGGGATTGCAGCTGGCAGCGCATGTGATTTATCGGTCCCTCCCCGAGCTTGTGTATTTGGGGGCATCTGTTCCACTTTTACTGCTTTTGGTCGGGGCTTTGCTGCTCCTTCACAGATCAAATCACTGCCTCCCTTCCCCGCTAATCCCAACAGCTGGTTACCACTCACCGATTCCCCCACTCTAATTGTCAGGGGAAGAATTATAAATAAATGTGTACAAGCAAACAGATGCTGTCATTTAAAAAAATCGATCCATCTAGCAAAAATGCCCCACTTAGGACTGAAGTGGCATACTGCAGAGCATGTATCTTGGTGGCATTTTAATGCAATCAGAAAAAACAATGGTGGAGCTCACTAATAATAGATTCCAAAAGAGAAAATGGACAAGGACAGAGGGAGAGGAGAAGAAGAAGGACAGATACACTGTGTGGCTCTGATGGCCAGGACTCCAGGACATAGAAGACAGGCAAGGCTCCCTCTGTCCCCCACCTGCTTCTCACTTTTCTCCCTTGTTCAGCCTTCCCTGCCTCTGCAACCCGTTTATGACATCAAATCAGACTCATTTGTTATCTTTTTTGTGAGTCTCAGAAGCAGGTGACCAAGTTTTTGCCTGCCTTGTGGTTTCTAGAAACCTAAATCCAGGGTGAAGTCCTGCCTGTCCTCCTCGCTGTCCTAGGCACCCAGCTCCCAGCCTCGCTTGTGGTCAGGAACATACCGAGAGACAAATGGAATGGTAACAGAACTGACCATTGCCTGGCCTGTCACATAACAACCTCCCACATGAGATCTGCCATTATCTTTCCTCAATCATGGGCTGAAGGAAGAGGACTTGGAGACTTCTGCAGAGATTGAACTCTCAGATGGAAAAAGTTTGGGGCCCTGAATGACTGCATGGAGCAGAGACTCCTTTCCATCCACGTCAGGATGTGATGGGAGGGACAAATCAATGTAATATGTCAGGCCACTGAAATTTGGGGATAGTACGTTACTGCAGAGGTTCTACTCTAACTAATTCACAATGAGTTCCAAAATTCGTTCATTCATTCTTTATTCATTCACTGAGCACCTAATACAAACAGCAGACACCACAACAATCTGGGGAAAGGAATAACATGAGCCTATTTTTCGGATGGATAAACTGAGGTTCAGAAAGGTTAGGTAACCTGCTGCGATTCCCGCTGCTGATATTAATAACAACAGCTGCCACGTACTGAGCACTTACTACGTGCCAAATATTGGGCTAAATGTTTCAGATACACTATCTTCATTACTCCTCATGAAAATGTATTGTTATCCCTATCTTACAGGTGAGGAAGCTGAGGCTTAGGGAGATTAATCCAGTTGCTCAAGAGGCTGGGTTAGGGAGGGAGAAGGGCAGGAAAGGCAAGAGAAGAAGGGCAGAAAGAGGGCAGAAAGAAAGGGGGGAACACAGGAGAGAAGAAAGGAATAAATAAATGCAGTAGAAGTCAAAATAGAAAGCTAATACCGCCCGTTCTTCCAAACCCAAGAAGGAGTCTCTAATAATAATCTAATCAAATTGCATCTTAAACATGCCAGCGTGTTTCAAATCAGGCCAGCCTTAGAAAACTGGGGAACTACACAGACACATGCGCACGTGCACACACACACACACGCTCCATAAAGGTTAAAACCATTACATCAAAATAAAACATATGGCCACCAAATCTGCATTTATTACATCTAATTGGAAGAGACACAGTCAAGTACATGAATATTTTAGCAGTTTCCCACATGCAAATCACCATGCCAGGACCCAATTACTCGCTAGTCGGCACATGCCCAGCTTTTGGTGCGCTGGACTAGAACGACACTCTGTCCTTTCCTCGCTGGCTGCAGCGTCCAGGTGGCCCCTCATTCTGAGTCACTTATCATTTGCTTCTGCCTTTAAATAGCACCCTATGAACAGAAAGACTTGAAAAAACTCCTTCTCACCAGGTCATACCCTGGATTAGTGTTTGGGGAATATATGGACAAAGGCAAGCTATGTGGTTCTAAAATCAAACACAAAATTCAGATCTTTTTGTTGTTGTTTTGAGATGGAGTCTCACTCTGTGGCCCAGGCTGGAATGCGGTGGCACAATCTCGGACCACTGCAACCTCTGTCTCCCAGGTTCAAGCAATTCTCCCACCTCAGCTGCCTGAGAAGCTGAGAATACAGGTGCACGCCACCACACCCAGCTAATTTTTGGATTTTTAGTAGAGACGGGGTTTCACCACATTGGCCAGGATGGTCTCCACCTCTTGACCTCGTGATCCACCTACCTCAGCCTCCCAAAGTGCTGGGATTACAGGCGTGAGCCACCTCAGCCAGCCTCAGATCTTTTAATGTCATCTCTGACCTAATCAACATTAATGTAAAGATTTTAGTGACTGTTGTTTAAGCCACAAAACGTACAGTGAACAAATGGGAATTAATAAAGATTTGTTTTCTGGCCAATTCCCATAAAGGCCAGAGTTCCCATGCAGAGAGCAAGATGAGAATACAGGGGCAGTGTTTTCCAAAAACATTGGTGACCTGGTCCTTGGCTGATCATTTGAGTTTTTGCCCCCAGGATTCTTACCATGTCTGAGTATCACCAAGCAAATTATGCACCTGACATTTTTCTTTGAACCAACTTCCTTTATATTTATTTTTGGTGAACTTTGCATTATTACGTAAATACGAATTCAGTATCACTTGCCCTGTTTAGAAGGCATATTAATAGCCAGGTACAGTGGTTCACACCTGTAGTCCCATCACTTTGGGAGGCTGAGGCAGCCAGATCACTTGTAGTCCGGAGTTCGAGACCAGCCTAGCCAACATGGCAAACCCCCATCTCTACAAAAAGTACAAAAATTAGCCAGGTGTGGTGGCTCATGCCTATAGTCCCAGAAACATAGGAGGCTGAGGTGGGAGGATCGCTTGAGCCCAGGAGGCAGAGGTTGAAGTGAGCTGAAATCTCACCACTGCACTCCAGCCTGAATGACAGAGTGAGGTGACTTATAACTATAATCCCAGCATCTGGGAAGGCCACAGTGAGAAGGCTGCTTGAAGCCAGGAGTTCGAGCTTGCAGCAAGCTACAGATCACCACTTCACTCCACCCTGGGCAATGGAGCAAGATCCTGACTCTACAAAAGAAATTAAAAATTAGCAGGGCCTGGGGGTGCACGCCTGTAGTCCCATCTACTTGTGAATCTGAGGCAGGAGGATTGCTTGAGTCCAGGAGTTCAAGGCTGCAGCAAGCTATAATCAAGCCATGCACTCCAGCCTGGACAACAGAGTGAGACCCCAACTCTAAAAAATGAAATAAAGGATGATCCCAAGAGTTCCAACATTTAACATACCAAATGTTGTGCATCCAACATGGGCTGACGGAAGGCTCTGCTTCACTCAGACTCGGGTAGAGGGAGACTCTCACACTGCTATAAAGAAATCCCAGAGACTGGGTAATTTATGTGAAAAGAGGTTTGATTGGCTCATGGTTCCGCAGGTATACAGGAAGTACAACAGCTTCTGGGGAGGCCTCAGGAAACCTTCAATCATGGTGGAAGGTGAAGGGGAAACAGGCCTGTCATTTTTTTCTTTTTTTACTTTATGACAGTTTCACTCTGTCCCAGGCTGGAGTGCAATGGCCCAATCTTGGCTCACTGCAACCTCTGCCTCCTCAGTTCAAGCAATTCTCTCACCTCAGCCTCCTGAGCAGCTGGGATTACAGGCGTGCACTACCAGCCTGGCTAATTTTTGTAGTAGAGACAGGGTTTCACCGTGTTGGCCAGGCTAGTCTCAAACTCCTGACATCAAGTGATCCACCCACATCAGCCTCTCAAAGTACTGGGATTACAAGCATGAGCCACCATGCCTGGCCTGGAAACAGGCATGTCTTACATAGCCAGAGCAGGAGGAAGAGGCAGGGGGAGGGACTGCACCCTTTAAACAACCAGATCTGTGAGAACTTTCTCATGAGAACAGCACAGAGTGGGGAAATCCGCCCCCACGATCCAATCACCTCCCACCAGGCCCCACCTCCAGTACTGGGTATTACAACTCGACATGAGATTTGGGCAGGGACACAGACCCAAGCCGTCAGGAGGCAACGCCCTCTTGAAACACCTGGCCTCCTTGGTCACTGAACAGGAGATGACAAAGCTGGAGGGCCACTCACTGGCGTTTAAATCTTCTACCCAGAGCCCATGAGCCAAGAATAGTGGTCACATGGTCCTGCCTAACTCCCAGGGGACTGGGAGATGTGAGGGTACACATGCATCCTGGGAAGTGGCAAACATCTCTGCCGCAGAGCGTAACTGCAAAAGCACATAAAGCCACGTGATTAAATTCCACCTAGGATGCTGTGCTGTAAGACTGCTCTGAGCCAGAACATTAAAAAAGAAATTAGCAAGAGTTATAAACATTCGTAGCACCAAGCTGAGACCTTCTCCTTGACTCCAGCGAAGGGATTAGGAGAAAATTGAAAAAGAAATTACTTTCACAATGTGACTCAATGTTATTTAATGTATGTCCCTGTATTCACTAAAATCACCTGCAGGAAAAACTAAACCATGGAACAAAAGTCTCTAAAACAAAACAGAAACCAGACAGGGATGAAAGGTGTGTTACATAAAGCGAGAATTCTTGGGTGAACAACACCATCACTGGTGTGACACGGTATTATCCAAAGATGAGGACACCAATCTATCCCATCGCACAAGCTCTTAACAATGTGACAATGACAGGCCTCCCTCAAGAGGCAAGGAGCAGTCTGCATCCTCTCCCCTTGATTCTGAGTGGGCCTGAGATTATGGCAGAAGAGAACCCCATGACTTCCAAGATAGTGTTTTAAAAGGTCATACACCCCAGGAGTAATGAACACACCTCACACCCAGATCTTGGCTTCTAATACCATTCTCCAGTAAAGAAACCAGGCTTCTTGAAAAAAAATGGCTGATTCGAGGACTGGGGCAGGAAATATACATGATGAGCCTGGAGCACATTGCAGCACCAGAAAGGAAGCAAACACACACACGCACACACACAAACACACACACACACACATACCACAGGTGCCAGCATGAAAGAGCTTCCAATGGCCCAAGCTAGAACAATTCAAACAACAAAATTCAAAGTCTTGGCTGGGCATGGTGGCTCACACCTGTAATCCCAGCACTTTGGGAAGCCAAGGCAAGCAGATCACTTGAGGTCAGGAGTTTGAGACCAGCCTGGCCAACATGGTGAAACCCCATCTCTACTAAAAAATATCAAAATTAGCCAGGCATGATGGTGCATGCCTGTAATTCTAGCCACTCGGGAGGCTGAGACACAAGAATCACTTGAACCCAGGAGGTGGAGGTGACAATGAGCTGAGATCACCTCGCTGCACCCAGCCTGGGCAACAGAGTGACACACTATCTCAGAACAAAAAAAGTTGTCTTGGATTATAACCCAGAGTGTAAAATAAATAACCATGAGTCAATACTGGCATTAATAAATGATTACATAAATAAATAAATGGAAAAGAGAATAGAGAAATCTTCTTCCATGCTGAATAATTCCAAATAATTTTTTAGATACGCATCCTCCACCCCGAGGAGACTGAAATTAACATCAGTCAGATGCAGTGGCGCACACCTGTAACCTCAGCACATGGGGAGGCAGAGGCAGGAGGAACACTTGAGCCCAGGAGTTGGGAGGCCAGCCTGGACAACATAGTGAGATCCTGTCTCTACTAAAAAAAAAAAAAAAATTTATGGTAGCTAAATGATGAGAACACATGGATACACTGAGGGAAATAACACACACTGGAGCTTGTGGGAGGGTGGAAAGGTAGGAGGGAGAGGATCAGAAAAAATAACTAATGAGTACTAAGCTTAATACCTGGGTGATGAAATAATCTATACAACAAATCGCCATGACACATGTTTACCTGCATAACAAACCTGCATATGCTGTATGTACCTTACTCCTGAACTTAAAAGTTAAAAAGAATTTAATTAAAAATAAAATAATTTTTAAAAGACTACCATCAACAGTGGTAAGTCATGTTGATAGGCTGATAGTACGTACCATTTTGTTTTGTTTTGTTTTGTTTTTGAGATGGAGTCTTGCCCTGTTGCCCAGGCTGGAGTGCAGTGGTGTGATCTTGGCTCACTGTAACCTTTGCCTCCCGACTTCAAGTGATTCTCCTGCCTCAGCCTCCTGAGTAGCTGGGATTACAGGTGTGAGCCACGATGTCTGGCTAATTTTTTGTATTTTTAGTAAAGATGGGGTTTTCATGTTGGCCAGGCTGGTCTTGAACTCCTGACCTCAACTGATCCACTCTCCTTGGCCTCTCAAAGTGCTGGGATTATAGGCAAGAGCCAGTGCACCCAGCCAGATAGTATGTACCCTTGATATAATGTGATGAGAAGGGTACTTCACTCCAAAACCCATAACCCCAGCCTAATCATTAGGAGAACATCAGAAAAACCCAGCTGAAGGACATGCTACAAAATACCTGCCTAGTACTCAAGACTTCAAGGTCATGAAAACCAGGGAAAGTCTGAGAAACTATCACCACCAAGAGAAGCCTGAGACATGACCACCGAGGTAACGTGGTGTTCTGGATGGGATCCCGAAGGAGAAAAAGGACATGAGATAAAAACTAAGGAAATCTGAAGAACGTATGAGCTTTAGTTATTAAAAAAAATATATATATATGGGCCAGGCGCGGTGGCTCACACCTGTAATTCCAGCACTTTGGGAGGCCGAGGTGGGCAGATCAGGCTGAGACCAAGAGATCGAGACCATCCTGGCCAACACCATGAAATCCTGTCTCTACTAAAAAAAACAAAAACATTAGCTGGGTGTGGTGGTACGCACCTGTGGTCCCAGCTAGTCAGGAGGCTGAGGCAGAAGAATCGTTTGAACCCAGGAGGCGGAGGTTGTAGAGAGCCGAGATTGTGCCACTGCACTCCAGCCTGGCAGAGAGAAGACTCTGTCTCAAAAAAAAAAGATCAACATGGGTTCATTAATGGTGTAAGATGCCCTATACTATGTAAGATAGTAATCATAAGGAAAACTGGGTGCAGGATATATGGAAAATTTCTCTACTAGCTTTGCAATTTTTCTGTCAATCTAAATGTATTCTAAAATTAATTTTTTAATTTAAAAACTGTCATACAGCCTCTACCTGGTACCCTCGTTCTTGGGGCACACACCTTGGGCACCCCGAACTGACCTGTGGAAGTCGAGCTCCCTGAAGCCATCCTGTTGAACAGACCATGCAGAGAGAACATATTAGAAACAGAGACACCCAGCTGGGCGTGGTGGCTCACACCGGTAATCTCAACACTTTGGGAGGCTGGGGTGGGAGGATCGCTTGAGCTCAGGAGTTGGAGGCCAGCCTGGGCAACACAGCAAGACCTTGTCTTTACAAAAAAAAAAAATAATTAATTAGCTGGGCATGATGGCTCATGCCCGTAATCCCAGCTACTTGGGAGGCTGAGGCAGGAGGATTGCTTGAGACCAGGAGTTTGAGACCAGCCTGGGCAACATGGCGAGACACCATTTCTACAAAATTGAAAAAGAAAACTAGCTGGGTGTGGTGGCGTGAGCTGTGGTCCCAGTTACTCAGGAGGCTAAGGTGAGAGGATCGTTTGAGCCCAGAGGGTCAAGGCTGCAGTAAGCCTTGTTCACACCACTGCACTCCATCCTGGGCAACAGAGTGAGACCCTGTTTCAAAAAGAAAAGAAACAAACACACAAGGGTCCCCTTCTGTTCCAGCCCCCAGATGTTTGAGTCTTCCCAGCCCAGGTGCCAGACACGCATGTGAGGGGGCCTTTCAGATAACTTCAGCCCCTGGGCTTCCAGCTCCCCAGCTGACACCAGGTGGAACACAGTCGAGCCATCTCCACCAATCCCTGCTCACATTACAGATTATTGCTCAAAATAAATGTTGTTTTAAGCCACCAAATTTTGTGGTGGTTTGTGACTCAGCATTAGATAAATGGGTGACTGGTCTGCAAAACCAACTTCGGTGGCTGATGTGTCTTCCGTACTGACTTCCACTAGGTGCTGGGCACTGGCCACACAGAGATTCATAGGATAGGGTCCCTACCCTTAAAGAACGCACATTCAAGTAGAAGAAATCAAGTGCCATGAGAGTGATGGCAAACAATGACAATACTAGATTAAAAGGATCAATGCAGTACTTTAGAGACAGAAATGAGTGGATGGCCCTAGGGGATTCTGGGGATACTGATGGTAGTGGTGGCCTGTTTGGCGCAGCCGCTGTGAAGACTCCGGCTGCAGTAGGGGAGATGCAGCCAGGACTGCACGCACCATGGGGCTAGTGGGAGCCAGGAACAGGGAGGAGCCCTGCCCCATTCTGAGTTGCTGGGCTGGGAGCCCCATGCTCTTCTGGCACAGCTACAGCCACCCCACCATGGCTCCAGACAAGGGCACATCCCTGAGCTCTCAGGGGCCAGGGAAGACCCCCCCCCCTGCAATGACAGGCTCAGAAGTGCCTGCTCCCACTGTCTGGCTTCTCCCTGCTCCCAGCACTCCGATTTCAGAGCAAAGTTGTGGCCGAGCCTGGGCACTGTCACAACCCAGCCAGGTGTGCAAACACTTGAGGACATGCTAGCTTCTAGCCATCTCGGCCCCCTCCAGACTTTGGTCACTGACAAACATGGGAGGGAGGCCAAGGGGGAGCTGAGGGCAGATCAGCACAGGCCTGCAGGCACCTCTTGTTATAAACAGCCTGGGCACTGTGGATGACATGTATTAAACAGATAGCAGCAGGAGGCAGACAGGCTCCTGGGTGGAAAGGCGTGGGCCCCCAGAAAGCCCCACCTTCAAGCCATGGATAGGCCAGCCTGAAGCCTGGGGGCTGGGCTGTCAGATCCAGGTGGAGTCTGTGGCCTAGAGTGAGAGCCTACAGTGCTTTTTCTGGGCCCATCCATGGCCGCCCATGGACCAGTCAGCATACACTTCCTCCCTTCTGAAGCACATAAAAATCCCAGTTTCAGTCAGACTTGCAGAGATGTCAGGACAACTTGCCTGCAGATAGGAGCTACCCACTTCAGGTCTCCTGAGAGCTTTACTGTTGCTCAATAGAGCACCTCTTCACCTTGCTAACCCTCCAGTTGGCCATGTACCTCATTCTTCCTGGACATGGGACAAGAACTCAGGACCCACCAAACGGCAGGACTGAAAGAGCTGTAATACAAACAGGGCTGAAACGTGTCCCCATGCTCACCATATTGTGGGAGACAAGAAGGAGAGAAGAGCTGTGGCCCTTCAGATAGCCCAGACCCAGGGGCTCCCCAAGCCAGGGCTATCACACCCTCTTTGGGGCTCTGTGGTTTCTGGTATCTCCAACCTCTTGGGCACCACTGAGTTTCCCCTTGCCTAGATGAAGGTGCCCACAGTGGAAACCACTTGCAATGCATCAGATCCAGCTGTAGGCTTGCACAGAGCCAGTGCCTGTGCCAGCTCCTGGAGCTGCCCACTCTGCCACAGCAGCTGGTGTGCCTAGCTGTGCACAGTGGCTGGACACCATACTCACTTGTTCACGCATCCCTGGCTGCTCTGTGCCTGGCTCACCCTTGGCAGGTGTGGGGTCTGGGAAAGGAGCACTACTGAAGTGCAGCCTGCCAGGCTGAGTCAGCAGAACAAGCCCAGTGGGCCTGAGCAAAACTTGGGCAAAGGTGCTGCCAGCCACAGAGGTTTCTGATTAGAAAAGCAATACCCAGAGAATCTTGTGACAATATGAGAATAGAGGAGAGAGAATAAGCACTTACTGAGCACCTCCTATGTTACACTGTTCTTTGTTTTTTTCCCAGACAGGATCTCACTTTGTCACCCAAGCTGGAGTGTGGTGGCACCATCGCAGCTCACTGCAGCCTCACACCCCTGGGCTGAGGCGATCACTTCCATCTCAACCTCCTGAGTGGCTGGAACTACAGGTGCAAACCACTGTGCTTGGCTAATTTTTAAAATTTTTGTAGAGAGGGAGTCTCACTCCAGGCTGGTCTCGAATTCCTGAGCTCAGGCAATCCTGCTTTACCCCTCCGCAAAGTGCTGGAGCTATAGGCATAACCCACTATGCCCGGCCCATGTTGTTCTAAATGTGTTAAAACATTTATGTGAATTAATCCTTCCAATTAACCCTATGATGTCATGATTATAACTATTTCAGAGATGAGGAAACTGAGGCACAGAGAAGTAAAGAGATTGCTCAGGGCCTGCCAAGTGGTAGAGATGGGATTTGAAAGGTGTGCTCTAAGCAGAACACACCTTTCCCATCTATAAAGTGAGGGTATCAGAGAAGATGCACTCTGCGGCCCTTCCTGCCTTCAAGGCTTGTGTTCAGCACGTGTGGGTTTTCCCCACCTCACATCTGTTCTCCTGCTCCTGGTAACACCACCTCAATTTTTGTGAGTGATACTGCCCAACTTCCACTCTCACTTAAGGAAGGACACCTACTTGGCCTCGGCCAGTCACACAACCACCATGCACAGGGAATGGCTCGGGCACCTGCATGGAAATGCCAAGCAGTGGCAGTCTTCTCAGGGACTTTTGCTAGAATTCTAGGGAGAGAGCCACTCTGTTTCCTCTGGAGTTGCTAAGCAAACATAAGGCTGCCAAGGGCCACCATAAAAAAGAGTCTTCCTGGGAATAAAGTCGGTTCAGAGGAAAGGAGAGGCCTCGAGATGACGCAAGAGTGGCCAACATGTGACAACATCTTTGGCACCTAGATTCGGCCGTGCTTGAAGCCAGAACAATCCTGAGATTTTCTGTCATTTGATCCAATCTATGTCTACTTTCTTGCTTAGAATAACTTGAGCTGGATTTCTGTAATTTAAAACCCAATGATGTCTAACACAATTCAACGATGATGGTATGTATCAGGGTTTATGTTTTTGTTTGTATTCTCCCTAGTCATGGTCACCTCCCAGAAGGCCTAATGAGCACCTGTTGATCTTTGTGGCTTCACTCCATCCGCAGCAGTCACTACCAGTGCCTGGCACAGAGGAGGGCTTGGGAAAATATTTGTGGAATTACACTGATAGGCATCATTCATCCCTTTAACCCCAGCTTCTCTGGTTCCATTGCTAGACATAAGCCCTCTGAAGACCTGAGGAGACTTAGCATTGATCTGATTCCTATAGAACATGAGGCTCTAAGCAATCAACAGTCCAAGGAATCTGCAGTGTTATCAATCAGCCAAGCCCAGATATAGGGCATGGATGTGACATCATGGCAATGCAATGGTTAAGAGCACAGCCATTTTGTTTTGAGACAGAATCTCACTCTGTCACCCAGGCTGGAGTGCAATGGCACAATCTTGGCTCACTGCGACCTCCGTCTCCCAGCTTCAAGCAATTCTCCTGCCTCAGCCTCCCGAGTAGCTAGAATTGCAGGTGCGCAACACAACACCCAGCTAATTTTTGTATTTTTAGTAGAGCTGGGGTTTTGTCATGTTGGCCAGGCTGATCTCGAACTCCTGACCTCAGGTGATCCACCCACCTTGGTCTCCCAAAGTGTGAGCACAGGCTTTTAAATCAGACATATTTGCTGGATGTGATGGCTCACATCAGTAATCCCAACAGTTCAGGAGGCCAAGGCAGGAGGATCACTTGATCCCAGGAGTTTAAGATGAGCTGGGCAACATAGTGAGACCCTTATCTCTACTAAAAATAAAAAATGAGCCAGGCATGCTGGTATGTGCACATGGTCCCAGTAACTCTGGAGGCTGTGGCAGGAGGATTACTTGAGCCCGGAAGTTGAAGGCTGCAATGAACCTTAATCATTCATGCCACTGCATTCCAGCTCCAAGTGAAAAAGTGAGACCCTGTCTCAAAAAAAAAAAAAAAAAAAAAAAAAAAAAAAAAAAGCCAGGTACAGTGGCTCACATCTTTAATTCCAGCACTCTGGGAGGCCAAGGTGGGTGGATCACTTGAGGCCAGGAGTGATCCACTGACTGACTAGCTCAGTGAAACCCCATCTCTACTAAAAATTCTCTACTAAGACCAGCCTGACTAACATGGTGAAACCCTATCTCTACTAAAAATATGAAAATTAGCCAGGTGTGGTGGCAGGCACCGGTCATCCCAGCTACTTGGGAGGCTGAGGCAGGAGAATCGCCTGAACCCACCAGGCAAAGGCTGACGTGGCCAAGATCATGCCATGGCACTCCAGCCTGGGTGCCAGAGCAAGACTCTGTCTAAAAAATAAAGCAGGGCGGGAAGAGAAGAAAAGAAACCAGACATAGCTGGGGCCATATGTTTTTCCACATCTTATCAGTGGTGTGACCTTGGGCAGGTTACTTACTGCCTGGGCTTCAGTGTCCTCCTCTTTGAAATGGGGCCGTTATTACCAGTGTCTCCAGTGCCCTGCAAAGATAAAATGAGACGTTGCATTAATACATAAAACACCCGACTCACGGTCAACACTCAAGAAATGGTGACTCTTTCTAGTGTTAAGATCATAATGATGATGATAATTATCAAGGTCCCTTCACTCCTTGTGGAAAATCAGCCAAGATGTTTGTCTCCATACACCCCTCCCACGATCAGGACCTCTCCTGGTGGACATGGGCTAGGACAGGACATATCACTCCACTCTTCCCTCTGCTGCAGCCTCCATGAGATGAACACACCAAGGTTGGATGCAACTCTCAGAAATCTCCTGCATGGGGTCAGCAGGACAAAGAGGCAGCTGGGTGGCACACAATGTCTTTCCAGTAGTGTCCAACGTGGAGGGCACGAGAATGCTCTAGAATGCTGAGGACCAGGAACGGTGGCTCATACCTATAATCCGAGCACCTGGGAGGCTGAGGTGGGAAGATCACTTGAACCAAGGGGTTAGAAGCTGCAGTGAGCTATGATTGCACCACTGCATTCCAGCCTGGGTGACAGAGAAAGACCCTATCTCTAAAATAGGTAAATAAACACAATATTGAGGAGCAGAGGCCACTGTTCCCTCTTGCTTTACATTGCTACAAAAGAATACCTAAGACTGGGTGTGGAGGCCCAAGCAACTCCATCTTGGATGCTAATCTACCAGGAAGGTCTCTAAGATTTCCAGTTTATCTATTGTTGCTCGTGTAAGAGCAGGTACTCACTGTGAATCCTGCCCTTGGGTCATATGAACCTGATGTTCATCATACTTCTGTTGTCCTGCCCATCCCTTCTGAACCACCTCTTCCCCACGGTAATAAGCCCTGGGTCTAGGGGGTAGCCACGTGGGGATCCACCATCTTGACCCGCCACTGCCCAAGATACAGACACGGCTTCTGTTCGTAAGTCCCTATGAAATGTTTCTTTCTAAGAAACTGGATTTGTCAGCCTCTTCCTTAGCCCTCTCAGCTTCCTCAGACTTTGGGGTAGGTTTGCATAGACCTGTCTACCACAAACATCGGGTAATGTATAAGGAAAAGAGATTTCATTAGCTCATGGTTCTGTAGGCTGGGAAGTTCAAGGGCATGGCCCTGGATTCTGGTGGGAGATTTCAGGCTGCAACACAACACAGAAGAGAAGGTCGAACGGGAAGGAGATACATGGAAAAGGGAGAAAACATGAAGAGTATCTTTGCTTTAAAAGAATCCACTCTTGCAAGAACTAATCCATTCCCAAGATAACTAATCCAGTCTTGCCAGAGCAAGAACTCACCACCATGAGAACAGTACCAAGCCATTCATGAGGGATCTGCCCCCATAATCCAAATATCTCGCATTAGGCCCCCTCCCAACACAGCCACATTGGGGATGAAATTTCAACATGAGCTCTGGGGACGAACAAACCACATCCAAACAGTAGCACTCCTCAAGACAGCCCAGAGCTTTAAGCTTCCTCCCTATATTAGTCTGTTCTCATGCTGCTAATAAAGATATACCCAAGACTGGGTAATTTACAAAGGAAAGAGGTTTAATTGTCTCACATGGCTAGGGAGGCCTCACGATCATGGCAGAAGTCCCGCATGGCTGGGGAGGCCTCACAATCATGGCAGAAGGTGAATGAGGAGCAAAGTCACATCTTACATGGCAGCAGGCAAAAGAGCTTGTGTGGGGGGAACTCCCATTTATAAAACCATCAGATCTCGTGAGACTTATTTACCACCATGAAAACAGTATGGGGAAAACCACTGATGATTCAGTGATCTCCACCTGGCCCCACCCTTGACATGTGGGAATTATTACTGAGATTTGGTGGTGGGGACCCAGCCAAATCATGTCAGTCCCCTAATCTCATCCTTTCCCCCTCCAGTCCTTTCCAAGTTTTCAGAAGAATCCTGGTGGGCAATGGAGATACAAAAAGCACTGGGATAGGCCTGGAGGCTGCCAGACCTGGGTCTGCTGCTTACTGCCTATGGGGCAGTTTGCAGGGGTGTCCAGCTAGCCTATCTGCCTCCAGCTAACTCCCTGGCCTCCTGCCATGTGCCTGCTCTCAAGCCATCTTCCCCTTTGCAATACTTGCCATATTCTGCCAACCCCTAATATTATTTCTTACTTCTCCTTATCCATTCTCAGGGGCATTTTTTCACATTTTGACATCTGAAACTGGAATGCACCTTGAAGACAATGTTGTCATGTCATCGCTATAGACTAGGTGGCCATGGTAATACAGTCGTAATTACATGGTAATACACCTGAACACATGCAAACTCAGTTGAAATTCCTCATGGAATGACTGGACAACAGCTACCAGTCAACACCCCCTTGGCATGTAAGAAAGTGCTTCCCAGTCACCCCTTGTACCACCAGCAGGAGCACCCAGACTTTGGGGAGTTTGCTTTAAATCACCGCTGCAGTCTCTCCTGCCTCCGCCCCAGCAGGCCAGCTATTTTCTCTGCCTGGAGCAATCTCCTCTCCACGGCAAGGTATCTGAATTACCCCCTTTCCAGTTATTTGTTGCTGTGCTGTCTTAAAACTTAGCAGGATACAATAACCATTATACCATGCTTGCAGACTCAAGAGGGCTGGAAAATGGCACAGAGGAGACAGCTTGTCTCTGCTCTCTGATGTCTAGGGCCCAGCTGGGAAGACACACATGGCTCAGGGCTAGAACCTTCCAAAGGTTCATTCGTGCAAGTGCCGGCTCCTGGGCTGGGATTACTCCTTACGTGGGCGCGCCAGACTCCTGAGTACTTCAGCAAACAAAACAGAAGCCACACTGCTGTCTATGACCCAGCCTCAGAAGTCCCATAATGTCACCTCTGCCATACGCCACTCCAGCCTGCCACTCAAAGGGAGGAGTGTCAAAGCATCTGTGGTCATTTTTTTAAACTGCCACACCCTTCATCTTTGATCTGAACCTGTGACATGTGCCTGTGGTTCTCCACATGTCATCTAACGTGACACACTCCTCACAATTATTGCCATTTATTATTTGTTTTTTTTGGTTTTTTTTTTTTAGAGTCAGGGTCTTGCTCTGTTGCCCCAGCTGGAGTGCACTGGCAGGATCATAGCTCACTGCTCACTGTAGCCTCCCTTGAATTCCTGAGCTCAAGCAATCCTCCCACCTCAGCCTCCCGAGTAGCTAGGACTACAGGCATGTGCCACCATGTCCAGCTAATTTTTTTATTGTTTGTTTTTGTTTGTTTGTTTGAGAAGGAGTCTCACTTACTCTGTTTCCCAGGCTGGAGTGCAGTGGCACAGCCTCAGCTCACTGCAACCTCTGCATCCCAGATTCAAGCAATTCTCCCATCTCAGCCTCCTGAGTAGCTTGGATTATAAGTACCTGCCACCATGCCTGGGTAATTTTGGTTTTTTTTAGACAGAGTTTCACTCTTGCTGCCCAGGCTGGAGTGTAATGGCACAATCTTGGCTCACCACAACCTCTTCCTCCCGTGTTCAAGAGATTCTCCTGCCTCAGCCTCCCAAGTAGTTGGGATTACAGACATGCACCACTACACCCAGCTAATTTTATAATTTTAGTAGAGATGAGGTTTCTCCATGTTGGCCGGGCTGGTCTAGAACTGCCGACCTCAGGTGATCCACCCACCTCGGCCTCCCAAAGTGCTCGTATTACAGGAGTGAGCCACCACACCTGGCCCTCTATGCTCTTTCTTTAAATGCTCAGCACACCTGCTGTTCCCTGTGCCTGGAACTCTCTTCCCACACATGGCCCCACATGACTTACTCCCTCACCTCCTTCAGGCTGCAGCTCAGGTGTCATCTTATCAGAGAGGGTCTGGGCATTCCATGCAAACCAGTAGCCCCCACTCCACACGCATATGGCACCACTGTCCTCCCTCCCCCTCTTGAGTCATAATATATATAACACTGCATATAATTTTCTAATTTCCTGTTTCCCACCACTAGAATGCGGGCAGGGATTTGCCTATGTGTTCACTGCAAAAATTGCACCAAAACTTGACATCATCCTTCACCCATACCCAAGCCTTTTGAAATGTGACTTAAAGCCTCTCCTATGAAGTAATAGATTCTCGGTCAGTGCAGTGACTCATTCCTGTAATCCCAGCACTCTGGGAGGCTGAGGCAGGAGGACCACTTGAAGCCAGGAGTTCGAGGCCAGCCTGGGTGACATAGTGAGACATCCCCACCCCCACCAGACTTCTATCAAAAATTAAAGTTAAAAACTAGCCACGCATGGTGGTGTACATCTGTAGTCTCTGCTACTCAGAAGATTGGGCTGGGAGGATCACTTGAGCCCAGGACACTGAGGCTGCAGTGAGCTATGATCACACCAATCACACCACTATACTCCAGCCTGGGCAACAGAATGAGACCCTGACTCTAAAAAACAAAAGAGAAGAAAAAAGATAGTGAATTCTCATTCCTTACCTTTGGAATCTGACTAGTTTTGTGACTTTGGTCAACGGAACGCCACTGGATTCAGCCCACTGAAGTGACTTCTGCCGTTTATGAGTTAAGAGGCTTGCAGCTCCTTGTCCCCCTCTTGGAATCCACTGTCCTGTTAACAAGCGCAGGCTAGCCTGCTGGCTGGTAGCTGACTACTACTCTAGCGGTCTCATTGCCCTAGCCAACTAGCTGATGCCAGACACTGGAATGAGGCTACCCTCACATGAGCAAGCCCCACCAAGATCAACAGAGCCTGACCCAGAGGAGCAAACTTCCCAGCGGATCCACAGACTTTTGTTTTAAACTGTTGAATTCTGGAATGGTTTGCTACATCGCATTATTTGTGGTAACAGACAACTGATACAAGCACTTAGCCCAATGCCTGATATGAAATATATGCTCAATAAATATTTACAGCACAAATGATTCAATAAACGAGAAAAAGAAACATGCACCTTATAGGTCATTTTTTTAATTTTTTTGAGACAAGGTCTCACTCTTGCCCAGGCTGGAATGCAGTACGGCGGTGTGATCATGGCTCCCTACGGCTGCAACGTCCCAGGCTCAAAC